CCGGGGGGGGGGGAGAGAGAGAGAGAGAGAGAGAGAGAGCAAGCGCGAGCGCTGTATCTATCTGTGTATCTTTCCTGCATCCTTATCAAAAGGGACATCACTTTTCAGTCCTGGGGGTAATTTGCCTGGATGGTCCCAAAGGATTATAAAGCTTTTGGTTATTGCAGCTTTAACCCCTTTTTGTACATAACAGCAGGAGAATAGAGGTGGAAAGTAGGACACCAGGTGCACCATGAAGGAAACAGTTTGGCGGCTGAGCAGGATGTATCCAACATTATCCTTCTCATCCACTTCAAATGGAGGGTGGGCAGCACGGTCTTGTGCTGGTTCTCCTCCTTTCTTCGGGGCCGATCCCAATCGGTGGTGATAGGGAGCAAGAGGTCCCATCCTCGGCCCCTCCTCTGTGGGGTGCCACAGGGTTCGGTTCTCTCTCCACTCCTTTTCAACATCTACATGAAACTGCTGGGTGAGATTGTCCGCCACCATGGGATGAGGTATCAGTACGCTGATGATACGCAATTATACATCTCCATCCCAGGTGAGGTAAGTGATGCCGTGACCACCCTCTCGCAGTGCCTGGAGGCTGTAAGGGTCTGAATGGGGAACAAGAGACTTCAGCTGAACCCTGGCAAGATGGAGTGGCTGTGGGTTAATGGCCCCTCAGTCCCTAGGAATTTACCATCTTTGGTTCTGGATGTGGTTGCGCTGCCCCAGACAGACCCAATGCGTAACTTGGGGGTCCTCTTGGACTCACGACTCCTGCTAAAAGAGCAGGTGGCAGTCGTGGCCAGGAGGGCCTTTGTGCAACTTCATGTTGTGCGCCAGTTACGCCCTTTCCTGGATTGAGAGGCCCTTTGAATAGTCACTCATGCCCTGGTCATCTCCCATATAGACTATGTAATGCACTCTACATGGGGCTACCCTTGAAGAGTCTCCGGAAGCTTCAACTGGTCCAGAATGTGGCCACATGGGCAATTTTAGGTGTAGCAAGATCCGCACATGTAACACCTTTGCTCCGCGAGCTGCATTGGGTGCCAGTTTGCTTCCGGGTCCAGTTCAAGGTGTTGATTATCACCTTTAAAGCCCTACATGGCATGGGTCCAGGGTACCTGAAGGACCGTCTCATCCCCGTCATGCAGAGAGGGAATGCTATGGATCCCGTCTGCAAGAGAATTTCATCTGACGGGCTCCAGGAGGCGGGCCTTCTCTGCAGCAGCCCCTGCCCTTTGGAACCCTCTTTCCCCAGAAGTGAGGTTGGCCCCCTCCTTTTTAGACTTCAGAAGAAAACTGGAGACCTGGTTTTGTCATCGCACATGGAGTGGGGATGGGAATAGTCAGTTTTGGGGTTGACTGGTTCCCTAGTCTTACCTTTGACCGATATTACAGTGGTACCTCGGAATATGAACTTAATCCGTTCTGTGACTCTGGGCGTATCCCAAGTTGGTCGTAACCCGAAGGAAATTTCCCCATAGGGTTCAATGTAAATCCGGTTAATCTGTTCTGCCCTCTGAATTTGGTCGCACCCCGAAGCAAATTTTCCCATAAGATTCAATGTAATTACCATTAATCTGTTCTGGCGTCCGCGGACCACGCATCAGGGGCGGGAAAACGGCCGGGCGCGGCGCGAAAACAGCCAGGCACCATGCAGCGTGGCGGAAAAATGGCTGCGGACCACGCGTCAGGGGCGGAAAAAATGGCCGCGGACCACGTGTCAGGGCGGAAAAACGACCGTACCCCGAGTCGGAGTTCGCACATCAAGGTAAATTTTTGCGGCCGGAGCTGGTCGTAGCCCAAAAAGTTCGTTAGTAGAGGCGTTCGTATCCCGAGGTACCACTGTATCTGGTCACAGGCTGAAATAATATC